ATTTCTTATCTGAGTTCTTTGTTGTTGTATTAGATTTTTAGTTAAACACTCAACATGGAAGACAAATTATGCAAGAGTGTTGATTATTTGACGATTATTTTATAAGGCGTGTCTAGTTATCTCATACGCTTAATTGTAATTTTGTTATAATGATTATTGTAACCCAATGATATTTAAAAATAATTTTCTTGCGAAAAAAAATAAAATATTTATATACGTATATTCAAACTAGGTTCACAATATTTTAAAAACATAACGACGAAAATTTCCAGGACACTCCATCATCAGATCCATCATCAGATCCATTGTCAGCAAATCCTTATTACTTCATTTAGGACAACCGTTCCCATTTTCCCCATTAATTAAGGTTTTAAAATAATTTTATCAGGACAATATTAAGTAAGGCAGACATTATTCATTCTACTGTGACAACTATAAGCCATTAATCTTCGTAACACCGTCCTAAATCAAAGTTTAAGATTAACAAAGAACAGTGTAATTAAAAGTGTAACTCTTAATGGTAGTTAGTAACGCTCAATGTTTAAGTTAAGGTTTTAAACAAACTAGTGATCAAAAAAGAATTTAATTATATTGCTTTATGGAATTATTTTTTGTGACTATTCGGGTTTATTGTGGTTTTCAGCTTTGGCCGGGATTGAGTATTTTTTGGTCATATTATCAAATTTACTAAAAAATACTCAAAACCAGCCAACCACAGTGTAATTATATCTCACCTGAGGACGGGATCGGATTTAAGATCCGAAACGTCGTGAAACATCTTTTTTACAAATCGTAATGGATAGCATACTTAATAAAATCTTAAACAACATTAAATAACGATCACAAAAACATTAAAACTAATCATTTCTATGCTGTAACATTTTTTTGCAACAGTAATGCCACTACAAACGGTGTTTTCACTGGCAGTACATGTTGCAGTACATGTTATGACCTAATCGGTATCTATGCGTAGAAATCAAGTAGTCAATAATCACTATCCTACCTCTTTATTATGACACATTTAACATTCTGACTGAGTGAGTGATGTAAGATAGTCAGTGTGATAAGGTATGTCACCTGTCAAACTTGCAGATAGTTGATTATCATACAGGTGCAGCCATGTTTCGTTATTTATTATTGTTAGTTATAAGAAATTTGAAAATGTTAGTAACGGTAAAAATATCAAATGCTCATATAAAATAAATATAAAAGGTTAAACAAAAATAATGTAAAAATTACAGATTATTTTCGATTTGAACCCTTTCCCTCTGCACAATATACATAGATCACAAACTCAGGTCTTTAAATCACCAAAGCATACTGTTTTTGAAAAAAAACCTATTCGCGAATAATTCCATTGACATTACACTCTCCTTGCCTACTTACCTTCGCAAGTTTCTACTCTTTAATAGTCTTATTTGAGTTTGGGACGCTCAAAATTAATCTCATGGATCTTGCTGTGGCCAATGCTCAGTCCACTAATGTTAAACTTGCATTTACGTTCTTATATATAACAGGAATTTCAATTGGATTCATAGTTTCAGACATTTTATAAATTTTCGATATAAATTCCCTTCGTTTTTAAGTAAAAACAAAAAAAAAACATATTCTATAAGTGTACTAAAACAAGCATTTATTTCCCTATTTCGTGTACAAATTATAAAAGGTTATTTTTTAAATTTCCAATTTTGTGTCAGCATTAAGCGACAAAGATACGCTAGAACTATACAAATCCCTCACTAATTGTTCTACAAGTTTAATAATGAAGCCTCTGTTGCTGTGGTTATGTGGTCTAACGTGAATGTCTCTAATATCCTTTGGTGGAGATAGGGATTATGGGACATGCATGTGTGAAACCTAACTGAATCCCTTATACTACTAAGTGATAAACATGATCATTTTATGATTTTAACCGTAACTTGTTTGAACACATTTTATAAGAAAAAGCGTTCTTGTGAATCATACAAGGACGTTTTATGTCGGCGTGGCTTTAAACATTTAAAACTTTCCACAAAATAAAAAAATATTGTTTTTCTTATACACCGTACGTTCTTATACATGCTTACATACTTTTTGTAATTGGGGATATTTGTAAAATCAAAGTTATAAAAGTTTAAATAGGGATATTAATTTCTATAATTGTTACTTGAATGTGTTTCTTTGGTGGCATGAATGATACATCATACAAGGAATTGCTAGCACAACAAAATAATATTACTGTGTGCCTTCGAAAACGACGCAAAAATTTCCATTGCTTTATATAGTTTCATGCAACCATTTTGAAAAAAATTAAGGTCTTAAAACTATAAGAGGGTTTAAAGGTCAAGGTCAAAAGGTTAATCATCTAGCACCATTTTCACAAGCTAAATCTCACATTCAGTAAATAGTACATGTAATGACCTAATGCTTAATGCAATTTCACCACCTACCAACTGAATTGTGGACTCGACACAGGCTGTGATTTGTTGAGGTGGATGTTTACCATGGTCCGTGCTTTGGTAATTAGGTTGTGACCATTAGTTATTTTATAACAATCTACTGAGCCAACATAATATATTTTTCACCATTATGATGTTTTAGCTGTTTTACATACGTTAATTGGTGGCTGAAAGATACGTTTTGCTGGCCATGCCAGCTGTCATCGTCATTTGGGGTCCGAAAAGGTTTGTAAATCCCTAGGGCCGCAAAATCAGCTGTCCTCTTACCTTCTTAAAACATAAATGCATATTAATTACCCATCAGTATCCATAGCATTGCAATTGAGCTGTTTTATTGTCACCGCTGCCTAGCAACTATTTATTATTACTAGTGATCGTCCTGTGGTCGAAACTCGACCAAAAATATAATGTACAGACTTCTCTATTTTCTCCCCACACTGTAAATAAAACATGTGATTGGAATTTCTTCCATTTGTTTTGATTTTCTGTTTACATTTTGTTGTTATTTCGTCACCATCATGGCAACCCATATGGTCCATGTTAATTTTTTGAAGTTTTCAAATTAATTTTTTGTGCTTATTTGTTAGCCTACTTTAACTTTTAAAGGCATTCTGCACATCTACAGGAAAATATCTTTCCAACAGTATGCGTAGATTTTCCCTGCGATGCACACGAGCTGAGAAAAAAGGTTTTAAAGAAACATGCTTGCCTATTAATATATAGATAGATTGTTGCTGATTCCTCAAAATATTTCTTCACATAACCTTTAAATATGTAGTTGTGTTGACTACCAGTGTGCATTATTATTGTGGTGAATATTGGTAATGTAACAGGTATAATGTGGTGAAAAATAGCGTTCGTACCACAGACCATGATTCTCGACTTTGTATCGAACTTCAAAACTATCTCGAGCCGGCAAAACCTCCTTTCCAGCCTTAGGTACGAAATATACTATTACATTTAAAGATAATTTTGCTTATGGGTAAGTTTTGGAGACAGAAAATAAGTGGACTTTATTATAATAAACAAACAATAAACCATGTGCAGAGAAAAAAACCAAATCTATATTATTTAATGCGCGTATTAACGTGCGTGTTACGTTTGTTGGCAAAACACGATCGGTGACCTTGGGTAGATAACACTATCATGTTTTAATATCCAAAAGAAAGGTAGCTGAACGAATCTGGATAAGACTGAAACGCCAATCAAGTGCCTCATAAAAACCTCAAATAATAACACTATGACAAGTAAAAAAGATTATATCTTTTATATTAACGTATTTAAAACTACTTGGCTAGCAACACATTATTACGTTAAGTTCTAAGCGAGTTTTTGAGTGGTTTGGTTCGAAATGTACTTACACCACTAACTTAGCATACATTAGGTCAGAACTAATTGTTAAAAAATAACAAATTATATTAATTAATACTAATATTTGGAATTTGTTACGAATAAGATGTCACATTTTATAATTTTATTTTCAAATTTAAATTTTATAAGATGGTGGCTTCCAATTTATCGGTTATAATAAATATGTCCTGATTAAACTAGGTTCTTACAATTGTTATAAAACATAAAGTATACAAATAATAAATATTTATATGTATAAATGAATTTTACGTGTACTTCACGAATCGTTCTACGAGAATCGATCTGATGATGTGACCGTCGTCACGACCCGGATGTCATAAGAAGAATCAAAAGATATTGAACAAGGTGACAGTTAATACAATTATTGAAATCATCAATATCCAGTAGTAGGAAAATGAACTCTCATACACTTGCCTTAAAGTTGGTTTTAAACGTTACTAGGAATTGAGGCAGGTTGTAAATTTAAAATAATATATTACAAAATGCTGATACAATTTTAAAATAACTACTTTTTTCTTGGCGACATACATGTTCTTTAAAAGGCATGTATGGAAATAAAAATACTAACAAAGCACAGCCGTTTTATGCATTCAATAAACCATATAAACAATTTATATTTATTCAGTTTTATAATGTTTATTCCATAGGAGCTTTGGAATTCCAATAAGCTTCGACTTGGTGGGACAAATTCACATGGGTGCAGTGTCTCCTAGACAGATAGTTTTCATTTATCTAAGAGTATTGGGTCCACCCCGCGGCTCGGTTTGTATCCTAATAAAAAATTATAAAACCATGCGTAACCAATCTTGAGTTTTTGGTTATTTGTGGAAATTTATTATAATTATTAATTCGTAAAGACCCAAGATACATACTGGTCCTTATGAAACCAATTATTTATTTGGACAGAAAAGTTAGACTTTTTTTACACTTAACCCATTTATTTGGTGCTGTTTATAAAGCGCTTTTAAAGAGATTAATAATGTGGTTCAATATTAAAATTGATTTCAAATGTGATTAAAATTAGAACTAAAATATAAATGTGATATCAATTTAATATTACATTTAAATTGGATATATAATTTAACACAACCGATACATTTAAAGCCAACATCTTTAAACCTATAAACTAGAAAGTCAAATTATAATCTGTAAAATTGTATTCATATCGAATTCAACAAATTTAAATTAATTGTAAATATTTGCTTGTTTCAACAATGAACTCTAAACAAATGTATGCTAAGTTAGTGGTGTAAGTGAATTTCGAACCAAATCACCTAAAAGCCCGCTTACAGCTTAACGTATTAATATGTTGATAACCCTGTATGTTTAAATACGTTAAGATCGTAAAGAATATACTTTTACATGCCATGTATGGTTTAATTAACGAGTGTAATTTGAGGTCTTTTTTAGGTGAAACTTGATTGGCGTTTTAGCCTTATTCATATTTGTGCAGCTACCTTTATTTTAGATAGTGTATCCACCCAAAGTCGTCTTTCGATCGTCTTTCGACACCAACGTAACACGCGATTACCATCGTAAAATAATATAAATTGTGTTTTTCCTCTGCACATAATTTATTACTTTATTAATTATACTAAAGTCCTCTTGATTGTTGTCCCTCAATATTAACCATAGGCAAAATCATCTTTTGCAGCATAAAAAATATTATGTTGGTTTAGTAGAATGTTTTAAAATAATAATGGTCATTTGCTAATTACTAAATCACGGACCAAGGTAAACATTTTCATAAAACTCCTTCAAACTATGTAGATATCACTGTCATATCGAGTTCTGAATTCAGTTGGTAGAAGGGGCAATTCTTTGGGTCATTACACGAACTATTTACCTACTAAATTTGAGATTTAGTATGAGAAAATGATACTGCCGTAAAGGTGATTAAGCTGTTGACCCTAAATTTTAAAACCTTTTATAGTTTCAAAACCTAAACATTTGTTTTCATTTTCGATATGGTTACATGAAAATATATATAGAAATGTAAATTTTTTGTATCGTATCCATGGTCACACAGTAATATTAATAGTATTAATATAAACCTATAGTTGTTCCTTGGGTGGTTTTAGTTATCAATCATTGGAGTGGTTTGACGTAGGACTTCATGCTATTCAGGTTTTTTTGTACTCAATAAGGAAGCTATTGTTGTGAGACTAGTAGCTGTTGTTCTGATTGTTGGTTTCATAGTGGTTCCTTGAGTGGTTTTAATATTCATCTTAACCATAGGCGTGGTTGTATGCTGCACTTGATTTATTTCAGGTTTTATTGTTTTCAACAAGGAAGCCATTGCTGTGAGACCAGTAGCTGTTGTTCTGATTGTTGATTTCGTAGGTGTTCCTTGGGTGGTTTTAGTATTCATCTTAACCATAGGCGTGGTTGGACGCGGCACTTTATTTACTTCAGATTTTATTGTTTTCAACAAGGAAGCCATTGTTTTGAGACTAGTAGCTGTTGTTCTGATTTTTGGTTTCGTAGGTGTTCCTTGGGTGGTTTTAGTATTCATCTTAACCATAGGCGTGGTTGGACGCGGCACTTTATTTACTTCAGATTTTATTGTTTTCAACAAGGAAGCCATTGTTGTGAGACTAGTAGCTGGTGATTTGATTGTTGGTTTCGTAGGTGTTCCTTGGGTGGTTTTAGTATTCATCTTAACCATAGGCGTGGTTGGACGCGGCACTTTATTTACTTCAGATTTTATTGTTTTCAACAAGGAAGCCATTGTTTTGAGACTAGTAGCTGTTGTTCTGATTTTTGGTTTCGTAGTTGTTCCTTGGGTGGTTTTAGTATTCATCTTAACCATAGGCGTGGTTGTATGCGGCACTTTATTTACTTCAGGTTTTATTGTTGTCGACAAGGAAGCCATTGTAGTGAGACTAGTAGCTGGTGTTCTGATTGTTGGTTTCGTAGTTTTTCTTGGAGTGGTTTTAGTATTAATGCCAGCCATTGGCGTGGTTGTATTCGGCACTTTATTTACTTCAGGTTTTATTGTTGTCGACAAGGAAGCCATTGTAGTGAGACTAGTAGCTGGTGTTCTAATTGTTGGTTTCGTAGTTGTTCTTGGAGTGGTTTTAGTATTAATGCCAACAATGGGCGTGGTTGGATGCGGCACTTTATTTACTTCAGGTTTTATTGTTGTCGACAAGGAAGCCATTGTAGTGAGACTAGTAGCTGGTGTTCTGATTGTTGGTTTCGTAGTTTTTCTTGGAGTGGTTTTAGTATTAATGCCAACCATTGGCGTGGTTGTATTCGGCACTTTATTTACTTCAGGTTTTATTGTTGTCGACAAGGAAGCCATTGTAGTGAGACTAGTAGCTGGTGTTCTGATTGTTGGTTTCGTAGTTGTTCTTGGAGTGGTTTTAGTATTAATGCCAACTATGGGCGTGGTTGGATGCGGCACTTTATTTACTTCAGGTTTTATTGTTGTCGACAAGGAAGCCATTGTAGTGGGACTAGTAGCTGGTGTTCTGATTGTTGGTTTCGTAGTTGTTCTTGGAGTGGTTTTAGTATTTTTCTCAACCAGAGGCGTGGTTACCGGCGACAAGGATGGTGTAGAATTGAATTCACAACGTGAAGGCATATTCTGCAAATAACACACAAGGTATATTGTGTATATTGTGCAGTTTATAACGTGAAAAATGTTAATCTTTATATCAAATCTAATTTAAATGAAAACTCATTTCCTAAATTTAAGAGTGTATCAATTGTTTTTTCTTTTATTAGAGTGTGCCAATTAATCTATTTATAATTTTTTTTTATGTTAGTTAAAAAAAAATATATCTTAATTGTTTACCTATTCACAGTTTGAATTTTATTGTGTGCCACTTTCTCGTAGAAGGATCGGTCTATTTATCTTACTCATTAAGGTCAATTCATTTTTCTTCTTTACCGGGTACAGTTTCGCACAGAACCGATGATATTTCATCGGTCTAAATATCACAATTTCGATTTCGATTCGGTTCAATATATCGTTTGTACAATATAGTTTTTTATGTTAACATCAAATTAGGTGAATTGTTTACGTTTTACTTATTCAAAACTATGAATATTCAGAGAAAAAAGAAATTTATTTTTTGAAAGTGAACAAACCAAACAATAATTGAAACATATTAATTTACCGCATAAGGTTTAAAATTTTATAGTTTCTTCCATTCTTAGCCGTACAAATTTAAAATACAACTACGGATGAAATAAAGGAACATTATACATGTTTTTGTTATTGTTTTTATTTCTGTGTATCATATGGTAAAATTAAATTTAATGCAATATTTATATTGAATCCTATCATAAATAAATTTATGTTTATATTTTTCCGATAAATATGTCATATTTTCTGCGGAACTGCGCCCTAATTGCCATAATATATATTTTATAACAGATATTAACTAAATCAATGCGTTTATGAAGCACATACAAAGTAAATGAAATAATCAACTAGTGTAATCTTTTGTATTTACGTTTGGGTAAAAATCATCTTTTATATCAAAATAAAAAAAAACCGCCCCTTAAAATAAGAGACAGAGAACTGTCGAACTTTTATTTTAAATATCATACTGTCATTAAAATGTAATGTCACTTACCATGCAGTTAAGGTTGAGGTATGAGTCACATTGGCAATTCTTGGTGTTGAATACTCCTCCGTTATCGCATAGCTTCTTAGTAGCAACGCCTTTCTCACATCGATAGTAAGTGCTACTAGGACATCTATCATGATCTAAGAAGTGTAAATTGTCAGGACATCCTTCGGGGAGTTTTTGGCTTCGTATCTGAAAAACGGGTTCATATTCTCTTTCAAAAAATTTAAAGTCTCATTAAAATATGTTGTGCACTAATACCCCTGAATTCTTAAAATGATAGAGTAAAAGCATTTCATTCCCGAACTGGTTCTTAACTTAAATCAAAAAATATATAAATTAATATTTTTATTATATTGAACTTGAAGTCTCACCCCTCTAGCAAAACATACATAAATGAAATAGATTTATTTTGCACAAAATCATTAAAAAAATTTTTACAGCATATTATGGTGGGTAAATAAATTACAGTTAACGACAATTGTTATAAAGTACATGAGAACTGTCAACAGGTTACAACCTCATTAGAGTTTACTGAGTTTCTGACATTTACACGTTGTCGCAGTTTAGGAGTGGAAAAACACGAATACAATGACGCTTGTTAATAAAAGAGAGCCTGTTCTAGCCGTAATAATACAATTAAGTTACTATTTTGTCAACATAACAAACAATAAGCCAGCTTCTTTCGTGTAATGTTTTTTTTATTTAGCTGGAGTATGGTAGATTTGGCGGATAGTTTAGCAGTACGTTTAAACAAAACTACTTGTCCCGTTCTTATAAATTTGCACACCGCCACAAATATTTTTTTTCTATTCATTTGATTGCTAGCAGTTTAAACTAGATTCACTTGGATTGGCAAATCATCCAAAGACCGCAGTATTATAGAGGGTATTTTGGTCATTGACAGTAAAAGATGCATAACTATAGAGAATATTGTGAATTTTTACATGGTAAGGTGAATGTTTCATACATGGTTAAGTACAGAGAAATTGCTTTAAACATGCTGCTCAATGAAAGCAAAAACAGGTATAATTTAAAGTGGTTCTATTTCATGTTTAAATGGTTAATTGATGAAAAATGGTGCATTTTACTTACTTTGTAAATTTGCTAATGATAGTATAGCTAAAAGGAACATACGCGACTTATTAGGGAGTTGACGGTATGAGCATGATAGTTGCTAATACAGTAGAAGGTCATGAATTGTGGATATTTATAGGCATTCAATGTGTATGTGATCCCTGGTGTGGATTAAGGTCCACACTAGTGAGTACTAAGACTTTTCACAGTACTATCCTGATAGTTAGGCCAATTCGTTAACCAATTACAAGGCAAAAATGTATCTCGGATTCCACTAAAAACCGTAGGTCCCTTAGTTGTCTCTTACTGTATGGGCAATTAATTAACAGCTGTGAAAATGTCGGCTTTATTCAGTAACAAGAATACAAAATCTCATCCTACACTCATCTACATTCATACTTGTCATAAAATACCAACATTCGTATGGTTACCATTTCAATGTAAAAGTATTTTCTTTTGAGTAGTTCCCATGCAATGCAGGTCGAGCACGGGATTTACGTGAGTGCCATAAACGCACATTTCCTGGCCTCGTTACGTAGCACACGTGTTGTGTTGTATTTTGTTGTGTTTGTAGTACTTTGAGCTGCTATTAAATTTTTAATATTATGTTAAAAAACATTCAAAAGTTTGTAATACAGATGAATGTTTCTACGACTTTGTTACAAGCTTTCGCTCAAAAGATTGTCAAGCTACGGTATTATTACTTTGACAGACATGAACACAAAATGTCTAGCATCGAAAACTGGCAGCAATAACTTCTGTCCCCGATCACTCTCAATCAGCCTAAAAAACAACATAAACATAATGAGCTACACTTATAAGAATTCAATACAACTGATGCCTTAGTTAGCAATACTCCCAAGTAATTTTAAAAAGTTTACAAACGGACAGTGATAGTTTTTCGTTGAATTTAGGAAATTATGGTACTAACCCCGCAGTCTACATTCGATGGCCAGTCACACACCCAAAGTTCTTGGTTCCACACAGTTCCTGGACCACATCTTTTGGCCACTGGCCTCCCATGGTCACATTGGTAAAATAAGCGACAATCTTGTGGCTCTGCAAAGTATTCTCCTGCAGGACAAAGCACGGGCGGACCACAAAAGCTAACCTGTAACATCATTGATGATTGATGGTTGATGTTGTCTTTAAAATATCATCAAGCTTTTCAGGTAAAAAGTATGTTATTTGTTATTTTTTATCGTTTACCTGTATTCAAGGATTTTAAGCTATATTTTTAAGGTTACAGAAACAACCTAAATCATGGGCAACAGAGCTAAAAAAACATACGTCATGTGATAAGACAGAGTTCTTACGAATATAAACAAAAAGCTTACCTTTACAAGTGATGAAAATAAAACAGCTAAATGCGTCTTCCCCATGTTGGCCTCACAATTTAATCACAACTGTAACTCTAATAGTTAATATTTTAGTTTTAATAGCTGCTGATTATCAACGCTTAATTGTTCTGCACTTATCTTTTAGTGACGTTCAGATATCTACCGTGATTGTGACGTCACACGCTTAATAGACCCTAATGTTTAATTGGACAAATCGCTTAACAGCTTGCACGGCTTGAATATAATAATACAATGATAACTTAAACACTTCTAGCAAATCGAATTTATAATTTCTTAGCAAGTCATATTATCAAGTATGTTATTTCGATTGATTTCTCAACTTACCTAATATTTGTCTGATTCTTAAATAATCGAGGATAAGTTAAAACAATTTTGAGGGACTAATTCTTTATGTGTATATAAAATAAGAATATTTCGTCTTAATTATCATTTTGGACTAATTTTTAATTATGAAATGTATTTAAATCCTTTATTTATAAATGATCAAGCGATGACACAAAAAAGCCACAAATTACCAATTTTAGAAGATTATCAGATATTATCAGAACCTAATCAGATTAACCTAATCAGATATTCAAATATCACAGTTATGTTTTGTAACCCCTTTTTTATTCAAACACCACAAAAGGTACATTTCCAATAGACTTTGAACAAAATAATTAAACAAAAAGTTTTTTTTTATATTTTTACATATTCCTCTGTTTCTAAGAACCTTAATAACGTCTTAATTTAATTTAACCATTTGTCAACGTTATCCACAAAGCTACTATGGCTGGTGTTCGATATGAGAGTTAATAGAGAGTAGAAAAAAACAATGTCACATACCTTTCAATAAGAAAATCCAACATTGGAAGGTAACAGGGGGAATGGGGATTGGGTGAGCTCACCAGAGGGACACACAAGAAGATCTGGAAGTTCAGATGCACTACACACTTCGAAATGGGAAATTTAGTACTATTATTCACTGATTAAGAGATAGTTTTTCAAGTGGGGACACTTCCACCACGAGGTGGTCAAAAGACCGAGAGATTGCCAGACAAACGGCGCGGTGCGGCACATAGGTCCGATCGAGGAAGGTTTTAGACGCTAACTGAACAAAATCATGGTGGGGAAATTTGAATTTTCCATGAGAGGGAAAGAGACAGAGATAGAACACGTACTAGTCATGTATGATTCATGTAGATCATGTATGAGTCATGTATGATGTATGATGATAGTATGATTTTAAGGAGAATGTGGGGGAGGGGAATTGCCGTGGTGTGTGTGTGTGTGTGTGAGTAGAGTAGAGTACATTTTACAGACTTAAAATAAGTATCTAATATACAAATAAATATTAAACCCTATGCACACTGTTAATTAAATGTTAATAAAATTAATGATTGATGATGAGACTACTAATTACGCTATTTACAGAACTGTACTGAACATACCGGCCGCCTTGAAGCATTGTAGGCTTCAACAAATGATTGTCTACAAGCCGGCATGTCTAAGACACTTAGTCTATGGGAAGAGGGAAGACCTTTGAGACAGGCCTTCGATATGTACCCTGGTTGGTGCGCACGTCCACCACACGCACTATACCATCGTCTCCGGGATGTGTTGCGGTGATGCGTCCCAGGGGCCACTGAAGGGGGGGTGATGACTCTTGAAGTAGGATGAGGTCTCCAACATGAAGCCCTGGAGAAGGAGTAGTCCATTTTCCCCGTTGTTGCAGCGTATGCAAATATTCGGCATGCCATATTTTCCAAATACGTTGATGGAGAGCTTGGACTATTTGCCAATGGCGTAGGCGGTTGTCTGGACGATCCTGGAGATCCACTTCAGGGACAGCTACAAGGGGGGCACCAATGAGGAAGTGTCCAGGGGTCAAGGCGGTGAGATCGGAAGGATCCGCAGAGAGAGGTGTTAGGGGGCGTGAGTTAAGCATGGCTTCCACCTGAGTGATCAAGGTCATGAGTTCTGGCAATGTGAGTATATGTTCACCAATTACACGGTTTAGGTGGTATTTGGCGTTTTTAATAGCCAATTCCCAGAGTCCATCAAAATTGGGACTAGCTGGAGGATTGAAGTGAAAGTTGATAGAATTTTGCAGAGCAAATGCACGAATGTCGTTGCGAGCTTGAGAGGATTTTATTGCATCCTGCACAATACGAGTTAGTACGTGATTAGCGCCAACAAAGTTAGTCCCGCAATCACTGTAGATGTCTGTACAGAGTCCACGGCGAGACACAAATCTGGTGAGGGATGCGATAAATGCATCAGTGGTTAAATCTGTGACGACCTCGAGATGCACAGCTTTAGTCGCCATACAGACAAAGAGACATAAATATGTCTTAATGGTCTTGTTGCCTCGCAGATTATGAATCTTGACACTAAACGGACCACCATAATCCACTCCAGTATGAAGAAATGGTCGAGAGGGATTGAAACGAGAAGTAGGGAGATCACCCATGAGAGGAGTTTTATTTGTTGGGCGGTGTTTAAAACATGTAACACACCGGAGTATATTGGAGCGTATCACACTTCGGGCAGAGAGGAACCAAAAGTGTTGGTTAAGTAAAGCTTGTGTCAACTGAGGACCGGAATGGAGATGTTTCTTATGGTAATAGTTGATTATGAGATTTACTACATGGTGATTTTTGGGTAACAGGAGGGGGTGCTTGGCATCATAGTCGATAGGAGCACGATTGAGTCGACCTCCGACACGGAGTAGACCAGATTGGTCGATAAAAGGAGACAATCGCCGGAGTCTGGGGGAACACAATTGTCCTTCTTTAATGGCACTAATATCGTCACTGAAGTGGGTTTGCTGGATATTTTTCACAATGAAGTTAGTTGCATCTTTTAGTTCACTGGAGGATAAACTATCTTTTGATCTATCAACATGTCTGCAATTATTTACAAAGCGGATGACGTAAGCCATTACGCGAACAAGTTTGTCCCAGGAGGAAAATTTGCTAAGAAGGTCCCATTCGGGTTGATGTACAACAGTCAATACTTTAAGAGGTTGTGCTTTGAGATCCGTTAATTCGTCAAGGTCAATAGGACTGAATTTAGGTTTCGGCCAATCATCATGTGGCAGCTGAAGCCATGATGGACCGTTGAACCACACAGTGTGTTTGGAGAGTTGTGATGGAAGTATTCCACGGGAAGCGCAATCTGCGGGGTTATCTGCGCTGCTACTATGTCGCCACCAATTTGCCGGAACCAATTCCTGAGTTTGCGCAACACGGTTGGCAACGTGAGTTTTCAATTGATAGGGGGGAGTTTGCAGCCATGTCAACGTCACAGTTGAATCGCACCACAAGTGATGTGATGAGAATGTATAGTGTTTGGAAAAAATTGACAAACAATGTGATGTTAATTGTGCCAATAAATGAGCGGCACATAGCTCGAGTCTGGGGAGAGTGACCTTTTTGAGTGGGGCCACACGGGTTTTAGCAATAACTTGTCTGACTATGACTGTGTTATTAGAGGTGAAACAGCGAGTATATACCACGGCTGCGTAGCCTCGCTCTGAGGCGTCTGAGAACCCATGCAACTCCATGCTGCGGGATTCAGAAAAATGGAATGCACGAGGTATATTAATCTGAGAAATTTCTGATAATTCTGATACAAAAGGATGCCACTTGTCGGCGAGGTCACTGGATATGGGCTCATCCCATCCCAGTTGTTGGGTCCACAGGAGTTGCATTAAACATTTGCACCACATTGTTATGGGTGCTAAAAAACCACAAGGGTCGTAAATCCTTGCGATGTTGCTGAGTAGTTGACGCTTAGTACAAGCGCCGGAGGGTAGGTCCAAGTGATAGGAGAAGGAATCCGTAGTAGGTGACCAGTGTAGTCCTAAGATGGAGTAATGAGGTTGCTCTGGATCTTGCAAAAAGACAGGTGTCTCACGATGATCTTCTGGAACTGCTTCCAGTAGGCGAGGAGAATTTGACGACCACTTCCGGAGTTCGAATCCACCTTTCTTCAGGAGGGCGATGAGTTGACCCTTGAGTTGGAGGGCTGATTCTTCGTCAACGGAGCCTGTGATGATGTCATCAACATAGGAATGAGAGATGATGATTCTGGCTACGTCAGGGAAAGTTTCACCTTCATCCTTCACCAGTTGTCCCAAGGTCTTTATGGCAAGATAGGGGGAACTATTTAAGCCGTAGGTCACTGTTGTCAACTTGTAGATGTCAAGCTCGTGAGAGGGGTCTTCACGCCATAGGATCAGCTGAAAATTCTGGTCTTCTGGGCGGACTCGAATTTGTCGGTACATTTGCCGTATGTCACAGGTAAAAACAACATTATGGACTCTAAAATTAAGTAAAATGTCACAAATGTCTGTTTGGAGTTTTCGTCCAGTGAGAAGGACGTCGTTTAGAGAGATACCTGTGCTAGTCTGCGCACTAGCATCAAAAACTGTGCGTAGCTTTGTGGTACTGCTAGTTTCCTTTAGTACCCCATGGTGAGGGAGGAAATAATGAGGTTGAGATAAGTCAATGGTAGAAACTTTTTCCATGTGACCTGCTAAAAGGTAATCACTCATAAACTCATGATAAAGTTCCGAGAAATTAGGCTGAGATCGGAATTTGTGTTCCAATGTGCGAAATCTACGCTCCGCAGCAAGCTTAGAAGCTCCAAGAGGGGGGTGAGCCTGTTTGAATGGAAGACTGACAATGTAACGTCCGTCTGAATCTCTAGCGTGAGTGGCGTCAAAATGTTTGTCGCAAAGTTCTTCTTCCGCTGTGCGTTTATTGCATGGAGGTAGTTCTTCCTGCAACCAGAACCTTTGCAACGAGTTGTGTAACTCTGTGTCATTGACAGAGAGCATGGATACAGAATAATGTGCTGAAAGAGGAGTGATTGATGTACATGGTGCTTGTCCCATTATGATGAATCCAAAATGGCTGCTTACAGCATGGGGGAGGTTGGGACCAAGCGAGTGACTTTCGTTGGTGAGTAACTGTGGGATAAACTTCCACCTAACAGAACATCTACACTACTAGGTAAGTGGAACGTAGGGTCAGCTAGTGTGTAGGCTTTGGCTTTGTGGAACACTTCCGGGGTCAGTTTTGCTCTGGGTAAATCCATAGAAATCCTATCTAAAATGAGGAAGGGGTGCTGAGTTACCATGGTGAGGCCTGAGAGAGTGGTTAAGGTCAATTGTGTCAGTCCTCGGGTAGAAGTAGCCGTTTGAGCAATACCTGTTATTTGAACAGAGGAATGTGTGCGCTTGACACCCAGCAATTGAGCAGCACGCTCAGAAATAAAATTACACATACTTCCCGAGTCTAAGAGAGCCCTGAAGACGTGAGTAGTACCTTGAGGAGAGGTCAATTGTACTAACAAAGTACCTAAGAGCACAGTGGATTCGCAACTGTACTGAGATTGAGAAGTCATGGCTGTAGCTACTTTAGCGGGAGAGAGATTATCTTTAGGTACCTTATGAGGTTTAACGTCAGCTGAGGGTTGTTGAAAGTGCGCGTGCAACAAGCTATGGTGGCTTTTATGGCAAATGTAGCAAGTAGCCTGAGATTTGCATAATTTGCTATCATGGTAGCCGAGACAAGAGATGCATCTGTTCTCCTTTTTTACGATTTGATATCGTAGTTGAGGGGTTTTACCCTTAAAGGAAGGGCAAACATAAATTTTGTGGTCTGGTTTACCACAGTCAAAACAAGAGGTAGACGATTGCGTCTTGTGAGTGGTAAGCATAGCCACAGTCTTGCTGGGACGGTCAGAGGAGAATTTGACCGACTTTGTGCCTTTGAATTTAGAGGGTTGACCACAATAAGTCTTAATAGAAGAGTGAGTTAGGTGCAAACCAGCGTCTTCCACTTGATCACATTCTATATTGAGGAATTTTATAATTTCCGTCACTTCCGGCAGAGTGTGTGCTTCATGGTCTTGAGTAGACCTATAAGCTTCAAGTTTTTTGCGAAGGTCCGAGTCTATCTTACGCAATATCAATGCTGACAGTAAAGGGTTAGAGTTAGATGAGACATCACAATCGAGGGCTTTAAGGGCCTCACTATGTTCATAGAACAAGTTTATGAATCCCCTAAGTTGATGGAGAGAACCAGAGGTAATGTTAGGCAGGTCCATTATCTGGTTTAAGTGCAGTGTGGTGAGCCGCCTTGTGTTGTGATAACGGTCACGAAGGAGTTGATAAGCAACTAAGTAGTTCGCAGTAGTGATGTTAAGGGATTTAATTAAGCTGAGGGGTTCACCCGACACAACGCTTAAAAGGTACTGAAATTTGGCCACATTAGACACACTCACATTTTTATGTACACTAGAGTCAAAGAGGTTAATAAAACTAACCCATTGTAATGGATTGCCATCAAAGTGTTTTAGTTCCAGCTTCGGGAGCCTAATATTTACTGACGCATGAGTAAAAATTGAACCTGGCTCGCTATGTGCAGAAGGGGTGCGTGGTTCGTCAATTGGATTCAAGGATTCAATAATGCTTTGAATTTTGATATAAACATCGTTGATATCATCTTGATCAGTAGACAGTCGTGAGGTTGGAGCTTCTTCAGGGGCCAAACCTTCAAGAACTCTTTGAAGGTTACCTTCAAAGTCAGCACGTTTTTTAGTTATTTCTTTTGCATAACTACTTAAGGTTCTTAAGTTGACCTGGCTGAGAGGAGGGGGTAGATTAGCTACAGCTTCTACTGCAGTGAGAATTTTCTCAAACCTTGCTTTGATTAAAGCAGTGGAGCGTTCATACGTGGAAAACTTGATTGGTCCAGGCATTGTTTAGATTATGAATTACCTTACAATAAGTTCAAAAAAAATCTACAATGATGAAACCATAAAAGAAAAAAGTTATGATAAGCATTAAACATGAATAAATGATAAACAATGTTGTTAACAAAGAAAAGTTAGTTTCAACAATACATAACAATAGTGGATAAATGTATTACTCTAATGGTTTGTTTTGTATTCAAACGTATTTATACACAGTGGTTAGCCTATAAAAATGTTTTACGTTAGCCTCTTTTATGTACAATCAGTGACAAATAGAAAACATAAATGAAAAATTAACAACTATTCAATATTGTTAAGTGGACACTATTTGTGTTCAAGAGCTGCCAAACGAATATTTAGAGGAGCGAAAATAAAATATCAGAGGATTTATAGAGCTGTACGGCTTTTAAATGGAATGCCGTAGTTTGAGTCGGCTCCGGATGTTTCACAATGAACCGTTTGGCTTTGTACTATCAGCTGACTAACTGAAACAGCTGACCTAGAGAGGCTATGAACGGAAATCAGCTGCGCTCACAGCGTGTTATGATCTCAGTGATCGGTAATAAATAAAGTGTGCTATAAATAGATAGATCATAAACTACTTAAGTTCAATTAACTAAATAAGTAATTTGACGATAGAACAATAATTAACAAAATATACAAATACAAAATTAGGTCATTTACAACAGTGAAGTTAAATCAGTTGATTCCTATTAATTAACTGTTTAACAGAACAACAAAATGCACCTAACAAGTATATAATATGATTACTCAGAGACAAGAGAATAAACAAAACAAACAAGAAACGTCAATAGTGAAAGGGCCACTAAATATTTTGTAATTAGCGGTCAAGGATTAAATGTATTACACGAGAGAACAACTAATAATAAACAATTGTTTAAACACAATCAGCATTTATGATCACAAGAGGAGTTAGCATATTAATGTGAAATATAATTAAATGAGAAATAAAAACAAATAAAAATTTGCAAGGTCAATAACAAATTACGTTATGATCAATAAATGACAGTAGGCCTAGTATCAACAATAAATCAAAATTCACACATACACTTATAACTAATTAAAACTATTGACAAAGGCATATGTGTTGTTGTTATTGTTGTGAGAGGAAGGAGAAAAAAGGAATAACGTTCACATCAATTGCACAGCTGATGCGCTTTGAGTTCGGTCGATCAGCTGATCGATCAGAGGGGGGAGAACGTTCACGATCGATACGATCACCAAATGAAGTTCGCGCAGGCGCGCATATCGTCCAATACAGTTCAAGTTGATTTGCAAAGAGGGGGGAGCGTCGTTTCCCTCGTTCATGTACAACCGACGCAACCAAGAAAAAATGGCGGATTCCGCGCCAAAACGAAATGATTAATTTCAATAAGCACTTGTACTACAAAATGTTCAGAGTTTATGCACAAACAAAATAGTGTTTACCGCACAGAAAATTGTGAGAGAGAGTTTGAGACTTGAGTTCAGTGAAATAATAACGAAAAATAAACATGTAGCTTTACAAAAGACGCCGAGTCAAAGTTCAAAGTTGCAAAGTGGCAAGTTTCCAAAGCGTGATTCAAAGCACATCCGGCTCGAAGGACCAAAATGTTCGATATGAGAGTTAATAGAGAGTAGAAAAAAACAATGTCACATACCTTTCAATAAGAAAATCCAACATTGGAAGGTAACAGGGGGAATGGGGATTGGGTGAGCTCACCAGAGGGACACACAAGAAGATCTGGAAGTTCAGATGCACTACACACTTCGAAATGGGAAATTTAGTACTATTATTCACTGATTAAGAGATAGTTTTTAAAGTGGGGACACTTCCACCACGAGGTGGTCAAAAGACCGAGAGATTGCCAGACAAACGGCGCGGTGCGGCACATAGGGCCGATCGAGGAAGGTTTTAGACGCTAACTGAACAAAATCATGGTGGGGAAATTTGAATTTTCCATGAGAGGGAAAGAGACAGAGATAGATCACGCCATATGACGTAGGCATCGTATGATTTTAAGGAGAATGTGGGGGAGGGGAATTGCCGTGGTGTGTGTGTGTGTGTGTGAGTAGAGTAGAGTACATTTTACAGACTTAAAATAAGTATCTAATATACAAATAAATATTAAACCCTATGCACACTGTTAATTAAATGTTAATAAAATTAATGATTGATGATGAGACTACTAATTACGCTATTTACAGAACTGTACTGAACAGCTGGAAATTATGATTATTTTGTAAAACTCCCATAAAAACTAATCGGGGTCAAACGGTAAGATGGAATAGTAACTTTTTTAGATAGGTTTGATGTCCATAAGCTGAAAGATGTATTTTAAATTGTACTCATATTTAGTTATTTATGAACCATTAAAAATAAACAGCTAGTAAGCTAAAAATAAAACGTCAAAACCTAAATACTTGTATTTCCTTATCTTTTATTAAGTTCTAAGAAGAAACCCAAGGGAATTCGAAACTTGGAGATAAACCACTGCGTTGTTTGTATTCGTTCTCATTTCGTCTGGTTTTATATTAGAATCCTTGTATTATTATCATCAGAATATTTAAAAATGTATTAGATTTGTCAAAGAACAGCAATATCTGACCAAACGGAACAAAACTCAGGATATCTTCTATATCTTCAAGAAGTGTATTTCAATACCTAATTAAATAGTTTTAATTTTGTACAATAGTGTGCATTTTGGGAACATAGAGTAGTAAAATAAAAATAAAACTATATTATATAAGACTAATTGTAGTTTTTTGTCATAATTATATAGTTATTAAAACTTCACATAAGTTGAACAAAATATTGATTTCAAAAGAGCCTGGCAAGTAATCGGCAATTTAAATGTGTTATATATTTTTACCTACGGCCGTTTTTAAAGTAGCTATTTCAGTACAGTTCTTAGAATTGAAAAGTATCTCATAACAGCATTGTTTACTTTCATAACAGCACAGTTTTACTCATAACAACACGGGTGACTGACCAATAAGGTTGAAGGATTGAGAGAGGAGAAGCAAAATTGTAATGATTCGAAATGCAACTAATCAGCTGTTCAGGCCAATTTAATTGTTGATTGGTGCAATTAGTGTTTGATACAATGTTTCGTTGCATCACTGTTAGTGGCT